ATCATTAGGCTTACACACTTCGCAGCACTCACCATAGCACATACCCTCCCCTATGTCCATAACCCAACCACCCTCTCCATACCCCCCTACCCCCGGCAAACCTCAGGTTTGTTTTGTGAGATTAAGAGTCTTTTATGGTTTTACAGTTAGAATCTAATCCTCATGATGCCTTACAGCAGATGGAATAAATATATGTAAAATAGTAATGAATTTTATACATTAAGGAACTGAGGTCTGTGAGATGGGATAGAATCTAGAGCTCTGGTAAGAGGATTAACACAAGTAACCCTTCCACTTTTATAGGGGACCAAGGGGTGGCGGATGGACGTGAGTGTATATATATTTGTAGCTGGGGTCTAGCATGGTTTAAGGAGCTTGGGCTTGGGAAAGCGAAATGGCAGATTTCCGTTTATTTCCTAGCTCAGTTAGTCTTATCAATTTCAGGAAGTGAGAGCTTCTTCGAGTTTTATTGTAATCCTCACTTTTATCTAATGGGTGTGAAAGTAACAGGAAAGCAAGTTCATAATGGCTTGTTCAGATTACAAAGGACACAACAAGATGTATTTTATCAAAAGGAATGGTGTAATACAGTGACAACTTTGAAGAACAACCAGTTCTGTATAGAACTACCTTTTATAGTTCTATATTTTAAATTTCATTATGATGAATATTAAATAGTACATTGTATTGTTTACTTGCGAATGGTAGTATATAGTGATTCACTTAAATATTTTATATATATAACTCTACTTATTTTACATATATAACTATTAACTTGTATTTTATGTGATTATATAATTTTAGAAATACATTTTATATTTTTAATTTTACTTAGATATAAGAGTTCCTCTAATTTTGTGGCTGAGTTAGTTTGCAGTGTTATCCTTAGTGTTTTTTCCTCTTTCCTGGCAGATGGATAGTGGCTATAACACACAGAATTGTGGGAGCAATATTATGGATACGGTTGGAGCAGATAATGATGCACAAAGCTTGGAAGTTGAGAATAAGTCTCAAGTTTTTAATACAAAGGTATGGAAAAGACAGAGAAAGCTTGATATGGTTGTGTAAGTATTTATTATATATGACTTTTTTCAGGGGCATCAGTTGGTGGAGCATGTGACTTGATCTCAGAGTTGTGAATTCAAGCTCCACCTTGGGTGTAAAGATTACTTAAAAATAAAATCTTTAAAATAAAAATTTTCAGTGTATTTCCCACCCATTTTGCTTAAAATTTTGTTAATCATCCTCTGTTTATGCCTCATCCTAGTTTTTGGTTCATTTAACAGAGTATGGTGGTTTGTTTTTGTTGTTTTTTTTTTTTAAGATTTTATTTATTTGACAGAGAGAGGGATCACAAGTAGGCAGAGAGAGAGAGAGAGAGAGAGAGAGAGAGAGAGGGAAGCAGGCACCCACCGAGCAGAGAGCCCAATGCGGGGCCCAATCCCAGGACTCCAAGACCATGACCCGAGCCAAAGGCAGAGGCTTAACGCACTGAGCCACCCAGGTGCCCCAGTATGGTGGTTTTTAAATCAAAACACTTCATTTTCCAAAATAACTCTCTGGCTATGGGAGAGGTTAAGAGGTTGAAGAGGGAGAGCTAGTCCTACTTTGGAGCAGGCACCTGAACTCCTTTTCTTAAAACTAAAGAGGAATGGGAATAAGGGGTGCCATGACAGTTTTTTTGCCTCTAACATTATTTCAAAGTTAAACATAAAGAATTTCGATCATTAAGAAAATGATACAACAGAGAGACCACACATCAAAATAAGAACTCTCAAAAGTAAGGGCTCTTTTCTTTAAAATCCAAAAGCCTTTCAAGACTATAAATAACATACCTTACCTACTAAGTATTTGTACAGAGGTATGCTTTTGATTAGGACATTTACTGTACCTTCTTGATAGGATGGTTGCAACTATATATGCTTATTTGAGGAAAAGCCATCATAATTATAGGCACTGATCAGGAGAATCTTTCATTTTTATGTCAACTTGTTCATAAACAAACACCAGCAACTGTGCAATTGAACATAATTCTCTCCCAATGAATATTAAGATATAATATGGAGACTACCTTAATTTCCTTTTCCTCCATTTTGTTGAGGTGTGATTGTCGTTGTTCATTTAGAAGCAAGCAGGCACTAGGGTACAGGAAAAGGACTTTTTGATGCAGAATATTGATTTATAGAAAACCCTATCTTCACTGTGCTTTTAGAATTCATAAGGAAATCTGCATTCAGGTTTTAAAACAAGGTAGTTGTGCCTTGCACCCTTGAATGGTCCTATTCAAGCAGCAAATAAGATATTTTCTGCTTTTTCCCCACCCCACAGGAAGACCGTGTAACACAGAGGTGTTGAATGAACACAGAAACTTCCCATCAAGGCAACAGTCCATAGAATACCTCTCAAAGCCAAGGTCCATCACTCAGTGGCTCCTCACATAATTTTTATGCAGAGGATCAATAATGTGATCGTGATTGGAAAAAAGTTGCTTCAACTAACATGCTTAGCTTTTTTTCTTTCCCCCCTTAATGTGAAAAATCAAGGGCTTAATTTAGTGACATGGGAACAGAAAAGCTCCTGGAACTTTCAACTCATCGAAGTACAACTGTATTTTTTTTAATAAATATTTTTGTACTTACCTTGATTGATGTGTTTAACAATAAAAAAAATTTGAGAACAAGGACTTTGTTCCTATCCCACAGGGTTAGTGAACTGCCTAATAGTAAACCTTACCAACAGGACAGAATTTAGCAGTAGTTTTAGGAACATGTGGAATTGTGAGGGTACTGTTTTATTTTACATAAAAATATGTGACTATACAGATGAATTTACATTTATAACCTTTGTGAAAGAAATAAATCTTAGATATAAAACAAAGTTGAAGAGTAGGAAGGAGAGTAAGCATTTTTCCAGAATTTTTTATTCTTGATTCATTCATTTGTGTACAAATTCTGTTCTAGTTACTACTTCATTTTTTTTAAAGATTTTTATTTATTTATTTATTTGGCAGAGAGAGAGAGAGGGAGAGAGATCACAAGGAGGCAGAACAGCAGGCCAAGAGAGAGGGGGAAGCAGGCTCCCTGCTGAGCAGAGAGCCTGACACGGGGACCTCAGGGTCTCAGAACCCTGAGAGCATGACCCAAGCCAAAGGCAGTGGCTTAACCCACTGAACAACCCAGGTACCCCCCAACAGGGCTTTTTGAATGTAATATTCCATGTGCTGCTTAGCATAAAAACTGGCATTAGAAGCATTTTAAATTACTGAAGACAAGGCTTTGGATGAAAATAACGATTCTGGTCATCTTGACCTATCCAATAAGGACTAATGCCTGAATTAGGCCTTCCTCCTAAATGAGACCAAGAGAACAAACATGGAAAGACCAAAGGTTAGCCATTGCCTTGTTTAACCAAGCAGCCTCCCTTTCCTTCTGTTGCAAGTAAACTATGGGCTGTCAGCAAAGGATTTTTAAATGGAGAGGTGGAGATCAAATGGGTTTGTGACACATCAAAGTTAGGAAATGTGAATTTTTGTGGGAACATAGCCGCGCTTGCTTACATCCTGTCTGCGGCTGCTTTCATGCTGTTCGAGGAGAGTGGAGAACGACGGTTGTAACCGAGACTGCACGGCTCGCGGAGTCTAACGTGGCTGGTCCTTCACAGAAAAGGCGTGCTGACTCTCTCGCGTGTGAGCCCGCTACTTGGTACCAAGACCAAAGTCATCTTCGTTCAACTGACACAAGTTCTGCCTCAACATACGAGCTTTTCCTCGGTAGGAGGAAACTGGAACAGTCACTCAGCAATCACTGAGGGCCTAAATGACTGTACACTGCGTCATTATTCCCATTTAGTAGACCTGTTGATTCATTTGCTGGTCTTTCTCACTGGACTGCAGGCTCCTTCAAGGCAGAGACAGTTCACTTGACTCTGTGGAGCCTGGTATGTTTTAAGTGCTTTAGAAATTGAATAAGCAAAGTAAAGTGTTTTAAAATAACTATCTCAAAACATTCTTAAAAAACAAAATAATTACTAATCTTTGTGATGAACAAGGCACACCAAGTTGTAATATTTACTTAAGACTGTCCCCTTTAATATGTTCTTACACAATCCCCCCTTTTCCTATAGAACCCGATACATACACAGTTTAAAAGCCATGCATGACCTGTGTTTTATAAGTAACATGATGCAGATGTTTAAAGTGCCATCTCTATTTGCTCTTTGAGCCCTAATGCCTTATTTTGGGCGAGGTGTCAGCTAACAGTCAAGGATGATGATCACCATACTTATCTGGTATAAGAAAAAACTTATTCTAGGCAGCTCCAAATATCCTTCTTGCCTTCCTACAACATTCATCCCAAACACAGCTGTTCAGGACCACTAATAAAAATGCAGGAGGCTTTTAACAGTAAGGGAACACTTCATATAAATTAGGTACATTAAAGATGGCAAAGGACTGAATTCCTTGACAAATCTTGATGTCATTGTCTTGAAATCTAAAAACTACCATATCAAACATGGACATCTTTCAAGACTTAGAACAGATTGTTCCTGACTTCTGAAAATGTTCTATTTTCCTCCATAGGAAAATGATAATTTTTTTCCTATCAATATTAAATAATCAAATTACTTATATAAAATTAATCTGTTCTTTAGTGAGCAGATGAATGCTCCATTTAAATGGTCTTTACAGATCCCTGAGGTTGCTATCTTGTCACTATTTAAGTGATGGATATTCAATTGAATTTTTATGCATAACTAGTTCAGTTCAATCTAGAAATGAAGTAACAAGCATGATGGGCCAGACACAGTCAACAAACAGTTCAATAAAAATGCAAATTTTTAAAACCATTACAATGTATTTAAAAGTAACAAACTGTATCACACACTTCCGAGGTTTAAAAGTGTTCTCTCAAGGCTTTTTTTTGTTGTTGTTTTTTTAAGGAAACCAGTCTTTGAAGTTGTTTTGTTGATGGTAGCTATTTCTCACGTTTCTTCTTCTTTCTCTCTGGTTCATCAATGTCCATGTTTGGAGTATCAGCCAAAATGCTTATTCCTGGTATCTAAAGTAATGCAAACAGAAAAAATAAGGTGAGAAAAAGCATAAAATAAGGAATAAATCTCATTCTCATCATCTCCTTCCCCACTGACACTTCAAGTTTAAAAGGATGTCGGAGAGAGGGCGAAAGGAGGTTAGTAAAGGTCTTCCACACCAAGTATACATATTTCACACACAAACAGTGGTTCAAAAACGTGAAAGACGGACACCATCTCAACGGGGGGGAAGCATGTCATGTGGAGAGTGGCTTAAAGAGAACACATCCAGTCTATCCTGGCTGAGCCACTACGGCAGGCAGCATCAGAGGCCTCTGGTGTGCTGGGACCGAACAAGGTTAAGAAGTAGTATCTCAGAGTGATACATACTTTATCTTCATCTTTAAAAGTGCAGATTTTAAAACTCATACAAATGAAAAGGGACCAGGAAGGCGATCTCAGACAGCTCTCTGCCTTTGGCACTGAAGACATTTTCCACAGAATCCCAAATGTCTGGGATTCCACAGTGTATGGAAATCAGTGAGAAAACAGAATTTGCTATGTCTGGGATTCCACAGTGTATGTAAATCAGTGAGAAAACAGAATTTGCTACGTAAATATCTGGCTCCCACACTGCTTGTAAGATTTCTCTATTCTTGAACAGAAATAACTTAAAACTGTATTGTTCCCTTTGACACAGTATGTACCTTTTATACCATCACAACATAGACACTGAAGTTCAGTCTTACCTGCGGTTCTACCAGGGACATTCGGATTTTCTGATGCTGAAGATTGGATGAGTCTAGCATGATTTTCACTTTAACTTTATCAAATATATGGAACACTGTATCCTCTATTTTAAGGGAAGGTATCTAAACAAAACACATTTTATAAGTTTAAATTGGTATCTTATACTTAACATTTGTTCTAGTTCTTTACTGTTCCCATTAATTTAAGTCTACATTTAAAAATTATTTCCATATTTAATACACATCTAAGTGTGTATTAATATAACAATTGCAATATAACAATATAACAATTGCAATGTAACAATTACAACATAACAGCTTCACATACATATGACCTATTTATGGGTATACTTCCCCCTTTCAGTAAGATGGTCCGATATATGTGTTAATTAATCTCAGGATTCTCACCCCATTAATTAGCAAATTGTTGGTCTACCAGAGGAAAAGGTACTTGGGCAAAGTTTGCTGTTTTGTAGTTCTATTAAAGTTAGGGAAGTAGACAGTTTGTCAGAAAAGAGACACTGGAAATAGGTCTACAAAATTCTGAGCTAAAAGCAGCCATGTATTCCTTTACTTTAATGCATCTGTCCAACTGTGCAAAGCATAATTTAAGTTTTCCTTAGGGGGGAAACTACATGGTGTAAAACAAATCAAGGACAACATCTTTATGTGGGAAGATATACTGAAATGAGAAATTACGTATAGAATAAGCGTATTAAATATATCTGCACATCTGCAGGATACAAAAAATAATTTTATTCTTTCTAGATACCATTGAAGAAAAAGTATCCCCTCCAAAAAACCCCAAAATCAAAACATTAGAAGTACTATACCTCATCATCATAAATAAGCCTTGGCTTTGGTTTGTCCTTTTCTTCAAAAAAGACGGTACCTTCTAAACCATACTTTGGAATTAACACCACAATAGCATTCTTTCTTACAAATAGAATATAGGCTTCTTCACTTACTATTCCTTTGCTTTTGAAAAACAACTGTAAAATAACATACAGCCTTATTAAGGATTATCTTAAAATATTTTTGAAATTAACAAAAAGTATTCTAAAATTAAATTGAAAGTGAACAAAACATCTCCCCTAATATTACTGACAGAAGGCAAATACCTGGGTATGAAAAGCCACTGATGCACGCTGGGCATACTGAGCCATTTTGTGCCGGAAATTGAGATTCTTACATAAATCTGCAAGTTTGTGTTTGTCTGTCAACTCTGGATAAGTACAGTCAGCCCCAATAGCCACAGCCAACAATCGATGGACAATGATGTCTGCATATCTAGATACATGAAGGAGAAATAACAATCATGGTATGTTAACATTAAAATATCTTTTTACAGGGACGCCTGGGTGGCTCAGTTGGTTGGATGACTGCCTTCGGCTCAGGTCATGATCCCAGAGTCCCGGGATCGAGTCCCCCATCGGGCTCCCAGCTCCATGGGGAGTCCGCTTCTCCCTCTGACCTTCTCCTCGCTCATGCTCTCTCTCACTGCCTCTCTCTCAAATAAATAAATAAAATCTTAAAAAAAAAAATATCTTTTTACAATTCAAAATTAACTATTTTCTATCTCCTATAATTTTACAAGGAAAAAATACCTTCTGATGGGCGAAGTAAAATGTGTGTATATCGGCGATGCTAAGCCATAGTGATGAAAATCGTTATCCATTCCAGAGCAGAAGTACACAGCCTGCATCATACAGCGAGTGGCTAAAATCCTTAAGAGAGTGTTGAGATACGGAAAAGTCGGAGAATCCGCCCGGTCCAAAGAGTCAGCCAAAGACTTGGCTGTATCCGTTTTAATTTCCAAATTCTGAGAGTAAAGAAGAGGGGAAGTGCACCCTATTAAACATTTTAAAATCAGTACCATCGTGTCTTCAAAATACAAATCAAACAGAACATTTATGATGTTTTTGACCAGATAATAAGTATTTATATCTTTTGTCCTTAATCTAGGAGAACCAAAAAGAGCTTATAAAAAGTCATGATTGTTTTATGCAACATCAAAGCTTAAAATTTTCTGAATGCATTTAAAGGTACTGAAGTATCAACATTCTGAAGAAGTTTCAAAGGGGAAAGGGACAGTGGTAGCAACAGCATGATTCTCAGGGGGCGCCTGGGTGGCTCAATGGGTTAAGCCTCTGCCTTCAGCCCAGGTCATGATCTTAGTGTCCTGGGATCGAGCCCGGCATTGGGCTCTCTGCTCAGCGGGGAGCCTGCTTCCTCCTCTCTCTCTGCCTGCCTCTCTGCCTACTTGTGATCTCTGTCAAATAAATAAATAAAATCTTAAAAAAAAAAAAAAAAAAAGTACTATTCTCAAAGCCCAATTTGTGCTTGCCTATTCTTTGGTGGGGTAGGAAAAAAAAAATCAAAGCAGATCTGGATTCTTTCCAGTATGCCTGGATTTCTTCTGTAGGTATTCTTTCCCTTCCATTCAAGGTAGAAGTAAAGGCCAGAGGCAAATTAACACTGTACTGGTCACTACAGTTCAGTATGCTGACACGTCAAACTAACTGTGGTCTTCTGTTTTGGGAGAGGAGGCAAAAATACTTAGATTCTCCTTCCTTTATCCAGGTCTTAGAAAGAAATAAGATAATAGGAAAAAATTCCCCAATTTACAGTGTAAGCTTAGAGGAGAAGTTGATTCTGTTCTGATGGACAGGGTAGTAGGCCCGCCATAAAGATCTGAAAAATCAAAACCAACATCATTCTGTTAGAAAAATACCCTGAGATCCAACACTACTTCCTGCTGTCTTCTGGACAGGAGAGATGGGAACTGAACAAGTGATCCAAAGAAAACCAATGTAAGCCATAGTCCCCACAAGGGTAAAGGTAATTATGCCTAAATGCAGTCGAGGATATGGACCCCCTTCCTATATTTTTCCTTCTCCTCTGTGTATGCAGTAAATCGATTTCTCTCGTAGGGACATGATACAAAGGGGGCTTAACTGAGTTAAAGATAAGAGGGAAAACAATTATTTCTAAGTCTCTGAAGTTAGGCATCTCAGAGGAGGCATGAAATAATATAGGCATAAAGAACACGTAGAAAGGCAAAGAGATATGGAAGAACTTCCTATGTTCGGGTTCTTGCAAATAACTTAGTCTGGAACTTCTGGCTGTAGCACACAGTGCTCTTTAAAGACATTAAAGGGGGTGCCTGGGTGGCTCAGTGGGTTAAAGCCTCTGCCTTCGGCTCAGGTCATGATCCCAGGGTCCTGGGATCAAGCCCCACATCGGGCTCTCTGCTCAGTGGCGAGCCTGCTTCCCCTTCTCTCTCTGCCTAGCTCTCTGCCTACTTGTGATTTCTCTCTCTGTCAAATAAATAAAGAAATTAAAAAAAAAAAAATCCCACCTCCTAATACCATCACATTTAGGGGTAGGGTTTAAAGACATTAAAGGATTTTATTCAGCAAATGATTTCAATGTGAGAAAAGATGACTGTATCCAAGTTAGATGGTTTTTTTTTTTTTTTTTTTAGATTTTATTTATTTATTTGACAGAGAGAGATCACAAGTAGACAGAGAGGCAGGCAGAGAGAGAGAGAGAGAGGGAAGCAGGCTCCCTGCTGAGCAGAGAGCCCGATGCGGGACTCGATCCCAGGAACCTGAGATCATGACCTGAGCCGAAGGCAGCGGCTTAACCCACTGAGCCACCCAGGCGCCCGATGGTTTTTTTTTTCTTAATCAAAAGTACTACTAGACTATTTTTGCATCAGAAAACAACGCAACTTTCATGCAGATGCAAATATAGATTATTTAGTACAATGGACAAATCACAACTCAAATACTGATGATTCTGCAAACTTTGTGACCTCACCTTGGATTTAGCTGCCTTAACAAGAATTTCATAATTTGATGGAGGAGGAGCTGGGTGTTTTCGAAGCAAAGCATGTTCTGAAAATTCTTCATGAATTTTTTTTGCCACAGAGATATTGGCCAGTAACATAAATTCTTCCACCATGGAATTTGTTTCCCTGCCAATGGAGAAATCATTAAACGAAAAAGAATCTGAGGCTTTTATATATCACATTTATTCCCAGGCTACCTTTTCCACCACCGAGACAATAGAAGTATTTCCTACGTAAACATCTGAATGCCTATGTGCACATGCGTATTTTTTATAACCTAACTCTTTCATTTCTCAGGTGCTATGCTGACAATCTCTTACTATGCATCTACTGCATGAGTAAATCTCACACAAGAGACTTTTAAACTGAATTTAAATAACAAAATATTTAAATAACAAAAGCTTTACTCTTATATAAAATCTGTACCATATAGAGCATTTTCTTCACCTTCTTTTACTAAGTCTAAAGAGATTTTTATTTAACTACAAATCCATAAAAATAAAGTTTATTAATAAGAATTAAAAGCTATTTAGGTCATATAAATTTGGGCTAAAAATTAAAATTTTTACCAATAAATCACCAAGATGAAGAAATTATATTTGCATTAGCTCTTCTGGGTACTTATTATTGACTGGCATTGCACTATGTGTGAAATATTGATCTATATGTATCCATATATAGAGAGAGATAGGTTAGTCTTGTTTTGCAGATGAGAAAACTAACGATCTGTAATATTATTCTCTTGCTGAGAGTCCAAGTTAGTAGTATCAAGACCCAAGTTCATATAACTGACTTCAAACTCTTAACCAATTTGATATTGCTCTTCATTCTCTATAGTCTGTGTCTATTTAAAACTTAGGTTAGTAAATGATCTGTATTTTGTGTACGTTGTACTATTCTCTTATTCCCAAGTCACTTATTTGGTATCATATTAATATTTTATTCATGTTTCCATTTTTAACATCTTATAAACTTCTTGACTAGATTCCTAAGGCATATTAATTTTTTAAATATTAGGAAGATCTCCAGTCATACCTTTAAGACAAAAGACAATGTCTTAGAAATGTCTTCTCTTCTTGGTAAGAAGGGGTAATGTTCTACTTTGGCAGAGTTAGATTTGACATTTTCCTCAAAAAACCTCTTCATATTAGGCTCATTGCTCACATTAGCATTAGTTTTATTTGTACAAAAGTTTTCCCAAAAGTATTTTTTAAATTTTAGCTCTAATATTATAAAGTACACACTTCCTAACAAAGAAATGAGTATATTTTCATTTTTAATCTTTGGTCATCTACTAGAAAAGTGTAAATGCACATTCATTTCAGAATTACCTTATAGAAGGCATGGAAAAGAGGCCTGATTTAACCAAAAATAATCTTGCTTCCTAAATCTCAACCAAATCAATACAATCAATACAAATCAAAGAGAGCACTCTTCACAAAACTCAGTGAGGTAGGTGCCATTATCAGCCCTACTTCATCAACAAAAAAACTAAGGCATAAAAAGGTCAGATCACTTGTCTGGAGTTACTGGAAATGGGATCCAAACCGAGGCAGTCTGGCTTTAAAGCACAAGGTCTAGTACATATTTGTACACCACGCTCTTGTTAATTAAAAACTTAAGAAATTAACTAGGGCAATCTCTTATTTACCACAACTATTACTAGTCACATTCCACACACCACATATCACGACCAATTTGAATTGGAAATTCTTCTATTATAATACTTACCTTAGTTTTATATAAGAAAAAAAAGCAAAATCACATTTACTTCTATCTATCTTAAGTCAAAAAGATCTAGAGAAATCATTACCCTACTAGAAATAGGTATTTGGAGTACAAATATGTTTTGTTTATTAATACAGGTACTAGATATTACATTTAAAATAAAAATCCTATCTATTGCCCAGGAAAAATTTACATACCTAAGTTCCTTAGTCTGCAGATCTATAGGATCATGAGTTTCACTGTCCATGTGGAATCGAACTTCTGGAGAAGAAAGAGTCAAAGCCCTAAATAAAAATTACAGATGTAAATTTAGAAAAGTGAGCCAATAACATATAATTCTGGAAGTGATGCTTTTAAATTAGAAAATGATCACAGCAAGTGAGTAATAGTTTTTCTTCTGAGGGCTTTAAGACCATCTGCTAAGCTTTATGCTCTATTTTCATTGACAGCTTCGCCTCTTACAGATCTAAAATGCATTTAAAGAGAGGACAACAGGGGCACCTGGGTGTCTCAGTTGGTTAAGCGTCTGTCTTGGGCTCAAGTCACAATCCCCGGTTTCTGGAATTGAGACCTACACCAAGTTCTCTGTTCAGTGGGGGGAGGCTGCTTGTCCCTCTCCTTCTGCCTCTCCCCTCCACTTGTGCTCTCTCTCACAAATAAATTTAAAAAAAATCTTTAGAAAGGAGAGAGAGAGGACAACAGTAACACAACAAAATATGAGTCCTTGTGCTTCTGCAAATCTGTACCCAAACTGAGTTTTTACTAAGCTACATGGGTATGTAATTACTTTTATTTTTTTTTAAAGATTTTACTTATTCATTTGACAGAGGTCACAAGTAGGCAGAGAAGCAGGCAGAGAGAGGAGGAAGCAGGCTCCCTGCTAAGCGGAGAGCCTGATGTGGGGCTCGATCCCAGGACTCTGGGATCATGACCTGAGCCAAAGGCAGAGGCTTTAACCCACTGAGCCACCCAGGCACTCCATGTAATTACTTTTATAAATAAAGAAGGTAACTGGCAGTATTTTATTTATTACAGAAAACAATGTATTGGGGTGAGGGATGATGACGAGGCAAAAGGGAAGCTGCCACACATAGATTAAGTACCATCAGAAGATCCACAGTTCAGAAGTAGGCCCGCATTCGCTGAGCCAATGTAGAGAATGATAAACTCCTACCCTGATATGTACACACACTGACGGCTGCTGATATGGAGGGCTACGTACCAGCTAACACACTAGACCAAGGCTTTTACAGAACGGTTCACTTAATGAGGTGGAAAGTTCCCCTGTGAAAAGTAAATTCCAACAAGGCGAGTCTTACATTTCCTCACACCTTTTTTTTTTTTTTTAAAGATTTTACCCATTTATTTGACAGACGGAGATCACAAGTAGGCAGAGAAGCAGGCAGAGAGAGAGGAGGAAGCAGGCTCCCTGCTGAGCAGAGAGCCCAATGTGGGGCCTGGGGTCATGACCTGAGCCGAAGACAGAGGCTTTAACCCACTGAGCCACCCAGGC